CTTCAAAGCCATTAAGAGAGGTAGGAATTCTGGGGTATTTAACCAACCAGAAATTCCAATCCTCTCCCAGGCGATGAGATAGTGTGGGACCTCGGATGCTCTTTCATCGGTTCCTGTTATATGGGAAAACTCAGTGCCAAATGCTTAATGCACAGACTACCCTATTCCAGTAGCTGAAGTTTATAACTTTTTAGACACTCAACCCACCAGGGGACTCGAACACTGGCCAACAAGGTGGCAGTTGCATGCTGTATCCACTACGCTATACTTCAAAGCCATTAAGAGAGGTAGGAATTCTGGGGTATTTAACCAACCAGAAATTCCAATCCTCTCCCAGGCGATGAGATAGTGTGGGACCTCGGATGCTCTTTCATCGGTTCCTGTTATATGGGAAAACTCAGTGCCAAATGCTTAATGCACAGACTACCCTATTCCACTAGCTGAAGTTTATAACTTTTTAGACACTCAACCCACCAGGGGACTCGAACACTGGCCAACAAGGTGGCAGTTGCATGCTGTATCCACTACGCTATATTTCAAAGCCATTAAGAGAGGTAGGAATTCTGGGGTATTTAACCAACCAGAAATTCCAATCCTCTCCCAGGCGATGAGATAGTGTGGGACCTCGGATGCTCTTTCATCGGTTCCTGTTATATGGGAAAACTCAGTGCCAAATGCTTAATGCACAGACTACCCTATTCCAGTAGCTGAAGTTTATAACTTTTTAGACACTCAACCCACCAGGGGACTCGAACACTGGCCAACAAGGTGGCAGTTGCATGCTGTATCCACTACGCTATACTTCAAAGCCATTAAGAGAGGTAGGAATTCTGGGGTATTTAACCAACCAGAAATTCCAATCCTCTCCCAGGCGATGAGATAGTGTGGGACCTCGGATGCTCTTTCATCGGTTCCTGTTATATGGGAAAACTCAGTGCCAAATGCTTAATGCACAGACTACCCTATTCCAGTAGCTGAAGTTTATAACTTTTTAGACACTCAACCCACCAGGGGACTCGAACACTGGCCAACAAGGTGGCAGTTGCATGCTGTATCCACTACGCTATACTTCAAAGCCATTAAGAGAGGTAGGAATTCTGGGGTATTTAACCAACCAGAAATTCCAATCCTCTCCCAGGCGATGAGATAGTGTGGGACCTCGGATGCTCTTTCATCGGTTCCTGTTATATGGGAAAACTCAGTGCCAAATGCTTAATGCACAGACTACCCTATTCCAGTAGCTGAAGTTTATAACTTTTTAGACACTCAACCCACCAGGGGACTCGAACACTGGCCAACAAGGTGGCAGTTGCATGCTGTATCCACTACGCTATACTTCAAAGCCATTAAGAGAGGTAGGAATTCTGGGGTATTTAACCAACCAGAATTCCAATCCTCTCCCAGGCGATGAGATAGTGTGGGACCTCGGATGCTCTTTCATCGGTTCCTGTTATATGGGAAAACTCAGTGCCAAATGCTTAATGCACAGACTACCCTATTCCAGTAGCTGAAGTTTATAACTTTTTAGACACTCAACCCACCAGGGGACTCGAACACTGGCCAACAAGGTGGCAGTTGCATGCTGTATCCACTACGCTATACTTCAAAGCCATTAAGAGAGGTAGGAATTCTGGGGTATTTAACCAACCAGAAATTCCAATCCTCTCCCAGGCGATGAGATAGTGTGGGACCTCGGATGCTCTTTCATCGGTTCCTGTTATATGGTTCCTGTTATATTTCAGCTACTGGAATAGGGTAGTCTGTGCATTAAGCATTTGGCACTGAGTTTTCCCATATAACAGGAACCGATGAAAGAGCATCCGAGGTCCCACACTATCTCATCGCCTGGGAGAGGATTGGAATTTCTGGTTGGTTAAATACCCCAGAATTCCTACCTCTCTTAATGGCTTTGAAGTATAGCGTAGTGGATACAGCATGCAACTGCCACCTTGTTGGCCAGTGTTCGAGTCCCCTGGTGGGTTGAGTGTCTAAAAAGTTATAAACTTCAGCTACTGGAATAGGGTAGTCTGTGCATTAAGCATTTGGCACTGAGTTTTCCCATATAACAGGAACCGATGAAAGAGCATCCGAGGTCCCACACTATCTCATCGCCTGGGAGAGGATTGGAATTTCTGGTTGGTTAAATACCCCAGAATTCCTACCTCTCTTAATGGCTTTGAAGTATAGCGTAGTGGATACAGCATGCAACTGCCACCTTGTTGGCCAGTGTTCGAGTCCCCTGGTGGGTTGAGTGTCTAAAAAGTTATAAACTTCAGCTACTGGAATAGGGTAGTCTGTGCATTAAGCATTTGGCACTGAGTTTTCCCATATAACAGGAACCGATGAAAGAGCATCCGAGGTCCCACACTATCTCATCGCCTGGGAGAGGATTGGAATTTCTGGTTGGTTAAATACCCCAGAATTCCTACCTCTCTTAATGGCTTTGAAGTATAGCGTAGTGGATACAGCATGCAACTGCCACCTTGTTGGCCAGTGTTCGAGTCCCCTGGTGGGTTGAGTGTCTAAAAAGTTATATATATATATATATATATATATATATATATATATATATATATATATATATATATATATATATATATATATAATCATCACACGGTAAACATTTCTTGTGTTAACATATCCAAGTATGCAGAAAAAACACATTTTCAATGTGTTTTTTTCCAATAGTCTTATATAAACACAACGTCTGTTATCCTTAATGTCTTCTACTATGGGATTAATATATGTGTAATATGTGCTGAGAAAACTTATTAACTATAATTAAGTTCCACCTTCAAAGATTAGGATGACCATCCTAATCACCTCATGGTGGATATTGGTTCCCAAAGTGGATCACAAAACAAATACCAGCCTCTGATGAATTTGACACTTCCGTTAGCGAGACCCACCACAGTGCTGTCGTTAAGTATATCTGAAGAAAAATATTCTCATTCATGAAACTATCTGAAAAATCAATACAAATTTAAAGCTTGTTGTGCAGGAATCAGTGAGAGTAAAGCGTCTGCTGTCCTTGGTATTATCGTAACACTATTTTGGCTAAAAATAAAATCGTACCATTTTATTCCATAGGTCGTAAAAGGTAATATATTATCCAAATGTTTAATTTCCGTTTTTGTCGACATATTATTCACTTGTTTAACGCACCCGCTTGGCACTCTCTAGGTAGAACTATATTAATGTTCGTTTTACTATTATATTTTTTCCCTCAAGTTCATACACATTGTTTTTTTTGCTATTCATTATTTCTTGGCGCATGTGCACCTCGACCTGCTGGGGATGAGGAATGGTTGCATGTATTATGGATGGTTGTTTCTTACGAAACTTACCGTCACATGAATATTTGATGGTCTGCGATCCTTCCAATAGTAAGATATGAAGACCAATAATCCTCCTCCCCGTCTTGGTGCCTGACATGTTTTCTTATGGAAACTTCGTGTGTCACAGTGAGCTCAGATATTGGAATGTACTGATGTTACTGATCATATCAAATATTTTTGTTCGAACATCTGTTAAGTTAAATAATATAACATATGCGCACTCCGAGTAAATTTGTTAAAACTGTAGACTATTTCTGATATCTCGAATAAGCGTTTAATGGCTGCATTATAGTTTAGAAAGACTAATTGATCAGCTTTCATTGTAAAGTTTAAGTCGCTGAAAATAAAGCACCAGGCGGACTTAATTAGCGTTGTATGCACTTTCCTTTCAAAATTAATGAGAAATGAATTAGGTTAACGAGATGTTAAACTTGAGGTACTTCACCAGGGTCGTGGGGACAAGGGTAGTGGTGAATGTTGAGTCGTTCTTCCTGCACGACCATCAGCCAGCACTGGACAACCTGTTGCACGACCCCAGAGCCGACACTTATCAACCGCCCTCCTGGCAGCAGGCATCACAACATGGGTCAACTGAGAACCCTCTACGTCAATACCAAGCAGCACAGGAGCAGCTCGCACGAGACAACCTCCTCCAGGGGCTGTGGGGGGACTCAAGAACCACCTGCCGGGGACTTATTCTCGACCTCACCTCCAGCAGCAACACCACTCACCTCGCCCTCAGGTACTCTAAACAATGTAAAAGATTAATATATTTATTTACAATAGTGTCATGTCTCCATGCCATGTCTCCATTTGTCTTCATCTACCAATTGTTATTTTGAGGGAATTCTCCTGCGACCGGAATTATTCACTACAGGAAAAAGAGTGTTATATATATATATATATTATATATATATATATATATATATATATATATATATATATATATATATATATATATATATATATATATATATATATAAAAAGTTTGTGAGGGTACCACCTCTGGTGCCAATGTGGGGACCCATAGCCTCGGAGAAGAAAATAAAAAGTATTCAGAGGAGACCTTGTGGTTTCTCACTGAACACTAATATTATCTTCTCCTACCACCCCCATTCTTTTGTATGTACACATATATATTTACTTTATTTGAACTTTGTTACAAAAAAGGAGTTACATATGGGTTACAAAGATGGTTGTCATAGGTTGTCGAGTTCCTCCAGCTCCTCAGATGGCGGGCAGGAACCCTGGATGCAGTGCGCATTTCCCCTCTGTATCGCCACACTGAGGCGCTGGAAAAGAAAGCTTGCAGCTCTCGGTTCCCTTGTTGTTTCAATGAGCCTAGAACCCAGTTCCTTCAAAAAACTGGTAGCACTTTTACCCCAGGCGCCGAGTGTCTCAGAAGCAATGGGGACAAAATTGTAGTGGTGATCCAGTTCTCTATACTTACGGGATTTGGCTGCTTCCCTGTGGGTGGCAGCGCCACCTGGTTGTGCAACACTGAGGTTAATGTAGGTGTTAGCCAGGGTTGATACGCACGTGTAGTCCCATACCAACTGCTTGCCATTCTTCCAGGGGTTCACTGTGATACCATCCGGGCGACCAATAAGAGCATCAGAGTTACGGGGCGTTAGGTAACGGGGCTCTCTTTCAGCTGGGCATCCAGCTGTGGTGAGGCTCCTCTTGATGATGTCGTTAACTTCACTGTGCCTCGAGTGCCATACCCCTGTGCTTTGGCAGAGTAGGCCATGGTGGCCGTACCTGTCAGCCACCACCTCGCCGCAAATACACCTATATCTGGTGTGGATTGGGGCAGCAAGGCGGAGGGCCACAGCAATTCGGAGGGCGTGTGGTGTGAGACGCGTGCCAGTTGCCGACATTGGGGTTGCTAACAGGAAATCCCCTGCATGTGGTGCTGCTACTGCTGTGAGGCGAGCAATGTCGTGTTGTGTTGTTGCAGCACCCAGGCACTCTGCAGCAACTTGGTCTACAATGGGACCATCCCAGCTGGATTGCTTGTGGGCTTTTGGGGATGGTGGTTGAGGTGATTGGCCTGCACGAGAGGCCCACTCTGTGGCACAGCGTGTAAAATTGGGATCATGTACACCTGCCAGCTGATGTAAGTGGGCAGGTAGAATTTCCTTCACAAGGTCGTCGGATGCTGATAAGGAGGACAGGAAGGCTGGAACAGCGATTTGCGTTGCTGTTCGAACTCCGAGGCCCCCCAAGTCTTACGGGAAGAGAGGCTTGTTTCCACTGTAGGTCATCGAGAGAGAGGTTAAGGGCTTTTTCTAGCATTGATTTCAGTAACCGGTCATACTCACTTAGTTTTTGGCTACTGTAAGATGGTGAACACCTCAGAAAGTAGGTTAACCTGGGGAGGGACAGACATCTGGTGATGAGGTAGAGTGCATCATGAGCCTCAATATCCTCAATCCTCCCATCCATCCTCTTAAGGTCGGCGATTTTCTTATCAAGGACCTCATCGATGGCTTTCAACCCCAGGGGAGCTCCTAGGAGTGTGCTGTCTTCAGGTTTAGTTTTATGGATATTTGGCAGAAGACCCTCTATTCTCTCTACGATGCCCTGGTTGGAACATATTATTTCACATTTAGAAGGGTTCAGGGTGAGGCCTAAAACTGCACCTTGCTCCTGGATTTTTCTGATGTCCTCCAGGAGGGAGTCTTGGGAACCAGCTAGGGTACCATCATCCAAGAACCAGATGTTAAGCTCGCTGCACAGGACCTCTGTGACTTGTTTGATGACTAAGCAGAAAAGGAGAGGAGCAAGGGGGTCACCCTGTTGGACGCCTTCTCGCGAGTCAATTTCATGTTCGCCAAAAAGTAGCTTAAGATCCATACTGTAGCATGAATGTACAAAAGGGTAGAGGGAAGGGAAGTGACTATGAACCGCACGGAGTACAGGGTTGTTATATATATATATATATATATATATATATATATATATATATATATATATATATATATATATATATATATATATATATATATATATATATATATATATATATATATCGTACCTAGTAGCCAGAACCCACTTCTCAGCATACTATGCAAGGCCCGATTTGCCTAATAAGCCAAGTTATTACCAAGTAGGGTTACTTGAATTCTACGACCAGGCAACAAAAATGAGGCAAGAACGAGAAGGGTGGGCAGACTGCATATTTTTGGATTGTCAGAAAGCCTTTGATACAGTGCCACACAAGAGGCTTGTGCGAAAGTTGGAGATGCAGGCTGGAGTGAAAGGGAAGGTACTCCGGTGGATAGAGGAGTACCTAAGCAACAGGAGACAACGAGTCTGTGCGAGGGGTGAGGTCTCAGATTGGCGAGACGTTACAAGTGGAGTCCCGCAGGGGTCAGTCCTTGGACCTATACTGTTCTGGTATATGTAAATGATCTCCAAGAGGGTATAGATTCGTTCCTCTCAATGTTTGCCGACGATGCAAAAATTATGAGGAGGATTGAAACATAGGATGATAGTAGGAGGCTACAAGATGACCTAGATAGACTGAGTGGTACAACAAATGGCTGTTGAAGTTCAACCCGAACTTCAACACCACATATGTAAGACCAATCCTGGAGTATGCGGCCCCAGCATGGAGCCCGTACCTTGTCAAGCACAAGACGAAGCTGGAAAAAGTCGAAAGGTATGCTACTAGACTAGTCCCTGAACTAAGAGGCATGAGTTATGAGGAAAGGCTGCGGGAAATGCACCTTACGACACTGGAAGACAGAAGAGTAAGGGGGGACATGATCACAACCTACAAAATCCTCAGGGGAATCGACCGGGTAAACAAGGATGAACTATTCAACACTGGAGGGACGCGAACAAGGAGACACAGGTGGAAACTGAGTACCCAAATGAACCACAGAGACATTAGAATTTTTTTTTCAATATCAGAGTAGTTAGTAAATGGAATGCACTAGGAAGTGATGTGGTGGAGGCTGACTCCATACACAGTTTCAAATGTAGATATGATAGAGCCCAGTAGGCTCAGGAACCTGTACACCAGTTGATTGACGGTTGAGAGGCGGGACCAAAGAGCCAAAGCTCAACCCCCGCAAGCACAATTTGGTGAGTACAATTAGGTGAGTACACACACACACACACATACGGGCCGGCTGGCCGAGCGGACAGCACGCTGGTATTGGTATCCTGTGGTTCGATCCCGGGCGCCAGCGAGAAACATTAGGCAGAGTTTCTTTCACCCTATGCTCCTGTTACCTAGCAGTAAAATAGGTACCTGGGAGTTGGTCAGCTGTCACGGGCTGCTTCCTGGTGTGTGTGTGTGTGTGTGATGTGAAAAAATAGTAGTAGTAGTTGTAGTTAGAAACAGTTGATTGACAGTTGAGAGGCGGGCCGAAAGAGCATAGCTCAACCTCCGCAAGCACAACTAGGTGAATACACACACTCGAGGGTCTTGAGAAGGTTGGACACGTTCCGCCGCGCTCGTCAATAAGGCTTCATATTTCGGGACATCAATGGGATACACGGGGAATTCGGTGCTCAGTGATAATACGAAGTGTGACACACCAATTAGAAACTAGCAATTTCATGGATTGTGTCAGAAAGTGCAAATTAGTCAAGAACAGGGGTACGACATCAGTGCCAGGACAAGCACGTGGCAGCCACTGCTTGGTCAGAGTGTACACAACAAGATGTGATAGTGAAGATCATAACAAATAGTGCATAGAATAGTGAAGAAGTGAATCTAAACGTGTAGCATTAGAGCTATACCTGTGGTGTCAACTATAGCGGCGTTGACACCAGCAGACTTACGAGGAGTTTACAAGACTGGCAACACTACTTCTAACACCTGTTTGTGCTGTGGAATGTTTTGAATTGGTGATAAGCTAAGGCCTCTCAATAAGTGAGCCAATCATACGGTGTACAGTGTATTGCAATTTAATAGTTAGTCTTGGATATAAGTTAACAAACGAAAACGAGCCTCAAGGAACAATACACGGCTCACTTGGGGAACTAGATTGTGGCACCTGAGTGTGAAAAGCAATACACCCTACACTGGACACCCCATCCTCTCTCACCCCATCCCCCTTCACCATAAAACCTCGGCGTACAGGATCCCTTAACTGCTTAACTGAAGATCCCTTACCCTCTTAACTGAAGAGGACAGGAACGCTGTACCCGCGTTCCTGTCCTCTTCAGTGGCGTCTGACAACTTGGTGAAGGAAATCCTACCAGAGTACCTAGTTCAACAGGCAGGGGTACATGATCCCAGCTTCACAAACTGCACAACCAAATGGGTCTCTCTCGCAGGACCAGCACCCCAACCACCGCCTTATGAAGCCCATAACCAATTCAGCTGGGATCGCCCCATTGCCGACCAAGAAGCTGCGACTTTGCTAGTAGCTGCGACAACAAGACATGACACTGCCAGACTTAGAGCTGTAGCAGCTCTCCATGCAGGTGACTTCCTATTAGCAACCCCAATGTCAGCAACCGGTACCCGTCGCACACCGCAGGCCCTCCGAATTGCCGTGGCTCTTCACCTCTCTGCCCCAATCCACACCGAATATAGGTGTATTTGTGGCGAGGCAGAGGCCGACAGGTACGGACGGCATGGCCTTCTCTGCCAAATGACAGGCGGATGGCATGCAAGACACGGTGAGGTTAACTACATTATTAAGAGAATCCTTACCACAACCGGTTGTCCAGCAGAGAGAGAGCCCCATTACCTAATGTCCCGCAACTCTGATGAGC